CAAGTACCCAATAAGCATATACTCTCCCTAAGGGTCCATGTACCCAGATAGTAGAACATTGGCCTTAATGTAGTCCCTATTTGGGTACTTTAGGGCTTATGTTCTACTATTTGGGTACATGGACCCTTAGGGATACACATCTTTCCCAAAGGCCCTTTGCAGGACTTCTGCATTTCCAGGTTCCTAGCCATCCTACCCAGACCTTCCGATCTCCCTTAATTCAGGAAGACGTGCATTGAACTATAGTAGGATCCCTAATTTGATGTAAAAGCATTTTATTCCTTAAGGGATATTGGAAGAGCCGGATACGTAGAGAGATGCTTGCAAGGCTTGGGGCGATTTGGCCGCAAGAAATCCGAAACCCCAAACCCAAATCCCAAACCCAAAACCCTAAACCCCAATCCTCAAGCCTGAACCCAAAGTCCTGAACCATGAACCATCAATCCAGCAGCCGAAACTCTCATTCACAAACATGACAACGGACTAGGAGCAAGATAAGGATTCATGGGAAATTTGGATTTGAAGCAACCACCAAAGGACAAAATCAGACTTCCCCGTGAAGGTTTCATTAGCAATATATAATACTAGCCATCTACATCATCATCATCACCAGCATCACCATATGGATAATTGCTTCTACAAATACAAATAACAACGAACCCTCAACCCTAAACAACTGAAGCACAAATGCATACATGAATAATAAAGGCATTGGGTTCCAAAGTATATACAGTTATTTATGTACATATAGATCCCTAAGGGTCCATGTACCCAAATAGTAGCATATATTGGCCCTAAAGTACCCAAATAGGGACTACATTAAGGCAAATGTTCTACTATCTGGGTACATGGACCCTAAGGGATGGATCGAACGCCGAGGCGGCCCGTTTGTTTACAGCACATGAACCTGTAAGACCAAGAAGACACTACACCAGGAATCGCGCCCCTCCTTGTATATGGAGAGTGAGTGCTGGTCGAGCATGAAGACCTCATGCAGACACCGGAACAAATAACTCCAAAATGTAGACCTAAATCCTATTCACGATCAGGTTCTTTAACATGAAGGGTATTTTGTCTAGGAGTAGTGATAAACCAGGATCCGCCTGCTTGAGGTGTTTATTAGTTAAAGCTCCTACCTTCTCAAACCTCCTCACAAGGGGTTCAAGTCCCGGAAGAACGCATGCTTGTACGTGTCCAGGCTGTTGAATACCAAAAACCTTCCGGACCTGCTAGTACTCTAAACTCTAAACCCCTTAACCTGGATAGTGGTCTAGCACCTTCCATCCAGTAAGAGAGCTACATACTATACAAGCCGGTAGTATCCTTTGTAGGAAACCGCGTATTTCAATTTGTCGACCCCCTTCTGCGGGCTAAAGCCTTTTAACGACACACCCTTACCCTGTACCCTACACCCTAAACCGTAAGCCCTAAACCCTAAACCCTAAAACCCTAAACCCTAAATCCAAGGACCCCAAACCCCTAGAACCCCAAACCCCAAACCGTAAGCCCAGTGTCAGGGCCGCTACACTACATTTATGAAACTCTTGCTGAACCGGGCCTTTGGATGCTGAGCAGATCCTAAGCTATGGTTTAGGGTTGAGGGTTCAGGGTTTCGGGTTTAGGGTTTAGCGAATTTAGGGTTCACGGGTTTGTGGGGTAAGGGGGTTTAGGCTTATGGATGTGGTTTAGGGCTTTGGGGGAAAATTTTTAGAGTTACAGGTGTAGAGAGACATGCTTCCTTCAACTTGATGTATTAAGGTGACGTGGGTCAAACACTTACACCCAAAAACGAAAACCGCGTGACCGCCTGCAGTGAGTACCTAAACATGTAAATATCTCCCAGTTGAGCCATCAAGCTTAGAAGCCTCATCGGTCCCGCTACTTGTCAGACTGAAACAACCCTAAACCCTAAACTCTAAGCCTTAAGTTGCCCTGACGTCAGACCGAAACCCTACGAACATCGCAAAACTAAGGTAAACAAGACAATTGTACTCCAATTTAGGGTCCAGGTAGATCCTAAACCCTAGAGGCTTGAAGGATTGAAATAATGCAGGGCCCGTTATCATGACGAATAGGGTCTTGGAATATACTATACTATATTTACAACAAGGAAACCCCAAAATGGTGTATTTATTCATTTCAGATGGTGCAAAGCCCTCCGAGGGCGTACCACATGCTCGAAAATGAATTCAGACAGTGAAACTGACGAGGAGCGCAGCCGGCTCAGGCGACAAGCATGCTAGATGTTCTAGACACTCGGCGAGCACGCCGCCACACTCCCGTCCAAAATGGTGTAGGTAATTATTAACCCTAAGGGTCCATGTACCCAAATAGTAGAACATTGGCCTTAATGGAGTCCCTATTTGGGTACTTTGGGGCTTATGTTCTACTATTTGGGTACATGGACCCTTAGGGTAAGGCACCTATATTACCATAAAGTACCGATCTCACCGCGGCTGTGTAGCGGTTAAAGGCTCATAGTCACGAAGGGTTCAGGCTTGGGGTTTAGGGTTCAAATTAGGGTTTTAAGTTTAGGGTTTAGGGTTTAAGGCTTAGGGTTTAGGGTTTAGGGTTTAAGGCTGAGGGTTTAGGGTTTAAAGCTTAGGGTTTATGGTTATAGGGTTTAAGGTTTAGGGTTTAGGGTGCCACCCAGAGCCAGGTGCGAATGCAAAAGCAGATTTGCTACATACTCGTCAGCTGCAATTCAGCTGATCAAAGAGACAATTGAAAAGCTAGCTGTGCGACTATTCTTGCCTACATCCACTGTTCAGCTGATCTTGCACAGCCCTGCTGTCACCGCCAAACTCAGCACCGCCCCAGGTCACAACGGCTCCGTCACCAAGAAGGGCAGCAAAAGCATAATCAGTGGCTTGGATCTGCTGCACATTCCTCAACTGATGCTGCACAGCAATACTGTCACCTCCACAGAGAGCATTACCCCAGGTCACGACAGATCCATTGCCAAGAATGGCAGCAAAAGCGGCGTACGAGGCCTGAATCTGCTGAACAGTCTTCAGCTGATCCTGCACAGCACTACTGTCACCACCAAAGTCACCATGACCCCAGGTCACAACACTTCCGTCGCCAAGGATGGCAGCGAAAGCGTTGCCAGTTGCTTGGATCTGCCGCACATTTTTCAGCTGACCCTGCACAGCTGTACTGGCACCGCCACAGTCATCAAGACCCCAGGTCACAACACTTCCGTCACCAAGGACTGAAGAAAAGGCATTGTACGTAGCTTGAATCTGCTGCACAGTATTGACTTGGCTTTGTCCTCCACCACTGTCAGCACCAGCCAGCAGCCCCCAGATGACGACCTATCCATCGCCAAGAATGGCAGCAAAGGCGGTGTCACAGGCTTGGATCTGCTTCACAGTCTTCAGCAGATCTTGTACAGCACTACTGTCACCACCAGCCCGAGCATCACCCCAGGTGACGACGAATCCATCATGAAGACTGGCAGCAAAAACCTTTGAAGTGGCTTGGATGTGCTGAACATTCTTCAGCTGATCCTGCAAGGCGCTACTGTCACCGCCACAGTCATCAAGACCCCAGGTCACAACACTTCCGTCACCAAGGATGGCAGCAAAAGCGGAGTCTGTGGCTTGAATCTGCTGCACACTCCGCAGCTGATCCTGCACAGCACTGCTGTCACCTCCACAGCGAGCGCTGCCCCATGTCACGACAGATCCATTGCCAAGAATCGCAGCAAAAGCAGTAAGAGTGGCTTGTATCTGCCGCACGTTCTTTAGCTGATCCTGCACAGCACTACTGTCACCACCAGAGCTTTTGGCCCCCCAGGTCACGACAGATCCGTCGCCACGGATGGCAGCAAAAGCGGCGCCAAGACCGCCTCGGGCGGCTTGGATCTGTTGCACGTTCTTTAGCTGATCCTGCACGCCAGTACTGTTGCCACCAAACCTGGCATCCCCCCAGGTCACAACAGATCCGTCGCCGAGAATGGCGGCAAAAGCTTTGTTACAGGCTTGAATTTGCACTCTACTTGAGTGCAATGTCAGGATGTCACCATGCTCCAGCTTGATATCTTTGATCGTTGCAGAAGCATCCAGAACGCTTCCGGAAGAGCTCATGAGTCTCCCTTTACCAACTCCTAAAGCGCTCTCCGCACGACGTTGCAGTGTGGCTACCTCTTCGTCCAAGTCGGCGTTCACGGCCGCTCTCTTGCCACTTAGTAAGCAAACTTCCAACGTAAGCGACATGTATCACGTCGAAAGAAGCCCGATGTCTACATGGGAGTTTCCGATTATTGGGGTACCTTATTTGGGGGTCGTTATAATAAGGATCCTACTATTTAGGGTGCTATATT